CCCTGCAAGCCCTCAGCCCCAAACCTCCTCACTTTCTGTCCCCACCTAGCTCTGTGGGTGCTCCCCACAGTCACCCCAGCCCTTTTCACCCACCCAGGCTTGCCCAGGGGACAGGACCCGAGATGAGGCGGAGCTGAGGGGGTCCCAGCTCTGCGGTGGAGCTCAGACGCCCGAGCATGTGCAGCATCCCCAAGCAAACCTCCCTGCACGGCCCCTCAGCCCCTTCACTCGGCTCCCTGGGCAGGAGCCAAGCTTACAGAGCTGCCAGCTGTCCTGGGGGGCTTACGCCAGCCCTGCAGTGCCACCCGGGGCCGGGGCTTTTGTCCCCAGCTGGTGCAGGGGTGGGCAGAGCCCGCAGCTGAGGGCTGAGCGCCCGAGCAAACATCAATCTCCCTCTGTGCTCCCGGCCAAGTCTCACAGAGCAGCTCTGTTGGTACCTCGCAGCCCCATCGCCCTTCTGGGGCAGGGAGGAGAGAAAGCAAGCTGCACCACGCTGCTTTGGGGCTGGGGTTGTTCTTTAGATGGGACAAATGAAGTTTCCCCGGGGTCTTGCTGCTGTTCCCACCCCAAACTGAGAGAGGACACAGTCAAGGGGAGACCTGTGAGGTGTTTCACACCAGTAAGGTGTCCCAGTTCCTTCACTCCTTGCTCTGGAGTCAGGACATCACATCTGGGCACTCAGACAAATGCTGCAGTCAGCCCTGAGCCATTCAGCTCCAGGAACGAGCACATCACAAAAAAAAAAAGAAAAATGTAAAAACCCAACACATCCCTCCCAAGCCAAAGCCCCCAGGTGCCAAGCACTGCTCGAGCAAGGGGAGCTCATTTCTGGCATCACACTTGGAAAGGCATAAGGGCAGCACCACCCCATGGCTCTGCAGGTATTTGTGGTTCAGTGTCCCTGGGGGCAGCTTCAGAGTCGGGAGCAGCACTCAGGCCCTGCCCTTGGTGCTCCCAGCTGCCCAGTTTGAACTGGGAGTCACTGGGACACCCTCACAGCTGCAGGGCTGCCACTGCCCTCCAGCACAAAGCTCCAGTGGTTCCCTCACATCTTGGGATGGGGGTTCTGAGCCCCATGTCCTCTCACAGCATGGCCAGGGACCAGCCCAGGTGGCTCAGCCCCTCAGCAAAGCCCACAGTCTTTGGACAGAATCAGATTTTTATTTCCTGTTCAAGGCTGTGCATTGGTGGTGCACCCCAGTCACCACAGACAGCAGCTGTGGGCACAGCACCAACAGCCATGGCCAAGTTAATTGCTGGTTCAAAAGGAAGTTAATGAAGTTAACACCAGGTTAATGGAACTCCCAGACAGCAAAATGAGCATCAGCAGCACTGGCAGCTTCCCAGCTCCTGCTTGCAGCAGGGCCAGGAGCACACACACACAGGTTGGGGACAGCTCAGCCCCTTGCCAGCCCCAAGGGACCATGTGGGGCCAAGGAAATGTGCCTTGGGCTGGGCACTGCAGTGACATGCCAGCCTGGCCCCTGCCCCACAACCACAGAGGGCCTGACCCTGCTGGCACTGAGCTCTGCTGCAGTCCCTGGCAGCATCAGGGTGTCAAACCTCCCCTTCTCCCCCTCTCCCTCACCAGGGCCTCTGCCCCTTCCACAGCCTGGAGCTCCTGTGGGGCAGCTCCAAGTGCCAGAGGTTCAGCAAAGCATCCTGTGCACACAAAGCTGTGCCTGCAGGACAGCCCCAAGGCCAGGGCAGTGCCACAGGAACAGGTGACAGCTCTTCTGGGGCTCTGAGCAACCTTTGCACATGGCCTGAGCACAGAATTCTTTCAAAGAAAATAGAAAGCTCCAAAAATCACCCAGGCAGCCCTGAGCAGGTCAGGGCTGCCCCTTTACAAGGGGGAAAATGGACATAAGGGGGAAAATGGACACAAGAGGGAAAATGGACACAAGAGGAAATCACCAGGAGCTGGACTGGCATTGTGCCCTACTGGGATTGGCCATGCCACAGGCACGGGGCCCCAACAGGAGCTCCATGGCACAGGAACCTGCTGGCACAGGTGCAGGGTGCTCTGGCAGCGTGGCTGTGCCAGCACCCCAGCCCTCAGCACAGCTCTGCAAGAGCTGTGCCCCCAACAGAGCATCCCCTGCCACTCCGGCTGTGGCATCACACCACAGCCTGTCACCTGCTCTGAGGGGCTGCACCATGGCCCTGCCAAACTGTCACAGACATCTTTTATGGAAAATCCTTTCCTTAGGGTTTTTTCTCCTGAGAAGCTGAGAGGTCACAGGAACAAATGCAAACAATGGTTATCTGCTGCTGTGGAATGCAACAGGTGCATCTGGGATTGGTCTCATGTGGTTGTTTCTAATTAATGGCCAATTACAGTCCAGCTATCCAGACTGTCTTAGTCAGTCACAAGCCTTTGTTATCATTCCTTCTTTTTCTATTCTTAGCTAGCCTTCTGATGAAATCCTTTCTTCTATTCTTTTAGTACAGTTTTAATATAATATATATCATAAAATAATAAATCAAGCCTTCTGAAACAATGAGTCAAGATTCTCATCTCTTCCCACACCCTGGGACCCCTGTGAACACCATCACACCAAACCCCACAGCACGGCTTGGGGACCAGCCTGCCCCACTCTGGGGACACCAGCCGGCACATGCAGCCCACACTGCACCCCAGAGCTCCCCATGCCAAGGGGTGTGGGGTGCCAGGTTCTCCTGGGGACAGGCAGGACACCTGGGAAGCAGCAGTGAGGGAGTGCTGGGGCACAGAGAGCAGCAGAGATCAGCCCTGCAGCATCCAAGCTCTGGCAGTAGGGGATAAGTGCCCAGCCCTGAAGAATCGTTTAGCACAAGAGAAAACAAAGCCAGGAGGTTTTCCAGCCTCCAGAGTGTCTTGTTTTGCCCCACTCTGAGAGATCTCTGCGCTTCAGCTCCCCGAGGGACAGGGGGAGGACCCCAGCCCTGAAACAAGGAGTGATTATCAGCCCGCGGGCTCTGAGGAGCTTTTGTTCCGTGGCTGTGGCAGAGCAGGGATGGGAGGACACCTAGCGAGCTGCCTCGGTGGCACCCTGAGCTCTGTGCCCTGCTGTGCTCCCATCCTGCCCCTCCTCCTGCCCTGGTGGGGCCCTCAAGAGCTCCAGGGGGCTCCAGGGCTGGTCCAGGGGGAGACCTGGCTCCTCACATCCCATTGCCCTCTGTGCCTTGGCAGCAGGAGCCTCCACTCTCCCTGACAGGCCACACGTGCTACCAAGGCTGCTCATGGCTGTGTCGCTCCTGCAAAAACAGGGATTGAATGCAGGGTTCAGCTCAGAGATGCTGGCTGGCACAGAGGTGCCCTTTGCAGCTCTCCAGGTCCTGCTGACACCAGCACTGCCCCTTTTCAGAGCTTCTCATCTCAACTCAGTCACATGTAACTGGTGCAAGTGGGGTGATACACATGACTTATTCTTGTGGCTGAACTTGTTGAAGAGAGACCAAAACCTTTGATTGCAAAGATCTGGATGGGCCCAAGTATCCCAAGCAGAAACAGGCTGGATCCAACAGCACAGAGTCAACACAAGGAAGCAGAGAGGCAGCAAACAGCCTGGCCATAATCCACACTCTGGATCAGGCTGGATCTGATCAAAGAGCACAGGGAGAGGTGCTCGGGAGGAGGGCTCATTCAAGAGCTTCTCACAAAGTTTTTGAAGCAGACCTGAAACAAGAATGTATCTGGTGGGTAACTGTTCAAATACCATTCGTTTAGGAGATAATGTTTGGGTTTTGATGGAGAGGCATAGCATGTGATGTGGACTATCCTATATTTCATGGACTGTCTGATGGGGCAGAGTGTGTGATGCATAGTTATACATACCCTGAAATTATGAAGAAAACATCCGGGGGGGGGGGGGGGGGGGAGGAATGGGGGGGGCCAAAACCAAGTCCTGAGCCCATGGGGTACAACCTCTCTTCCCCAGCACCCTGTGCTGACAGAACACACACAGACCCACACCCTCCACCCACAGCAGCCCCCAGCCCCTCAGGCAGCCCCAGCACTGCTGAGCACACAGAATCACTGAGGGTGGAAAAGATCTCTGAGATTGAGTCTAACCCATCCAACCAGAGCACGGCACTGACTGTCATGTCCAGTCCTTAAACACCTCCAGGGACCCTGACTCCACTTTGCTGGGCAGCCCATTCACCCTTTCTGCGAAGAAATTACTCCAGATGTGCACCCTGAACCTCCCCCAGCACAGCCTGAGATCCTGTCCTTGTGATCCTGTCCTTGTGACCCTGTCCCTGAGATCCCGTCCCTGTAACGTGTCCCTGTGACCCTGTCCCTGTGACCCTGTCTCTGTGATCCCATCCCTGTGACCCTGTCCCTGAGATCCCGTCCCCGAGATCCCGTCCCTGTGACCCTGTCCCTGTGATCCGTCCCTGTTCCCCGGGAGCAGAGCCTGACCCCACCCGGCTCCCCCTCCAGCCAGGGAGTCGTGCAGAACTATAAGGAGCCCACTGAGCCTCCTTTCCTCCAGGCTGAGCCCCCACACCTCCCTCAGCCTCTCCTCACGGGATTTGTGCCCCAGACCCTTCCCCAGCTTTATTCCTTCAGCAGCTCCACGTCCCTCCTGAGCTGAGGGGCCAGAGCTGGGCACGGGTGTGGCCTCAGCAACGCCCAGAACAGAGAAGGACAAACACTGCCCTGGCCCTGGTCCACTCTACTGCGGTACCGGCCGGGTGCCAGCGGTCTCTCGGCCAGCTGGGCCCCTGCACAGGGCCGGTGCCGCCCCGGGCGCGGCTCCCCCGGCACCTCCGGGCAGCAGCTCCGGCACGGCCCGACCGCGCCGCCACGGGCCCCTCACACCGGTCACGTGACACCGCCACACCTGACCCGCGACAGGGGGCGGGCCGGTGCGCGCCTCGCCGCTCGGGATTGGCGGAGGGGCGGGCGGTGTCGCACGGTGATTGGTTCTACTGTCAGCCCTGCCCGCCGACTCCCTGAGGATTGGGCATGCGGGCTGCCAATCAGCGGCAGTCGGCGGCGCGGCGGGGCGATGGCGGCTGCACGGTGGTTGCTGCGCTGGGTCGCGGCTGCGGTGGCCGCGGTGGCGGCGGCGCTGGCGCTGGACAACGGCCTGGCGCGGACACCGCCCATGGGCTGGCTGCACTGGGAGCGCTTCCTCTGTGCCACCGACTGCGCCGCCGAGCCGCGCCGCTGCATCAGGTACCGCCGCAGGGGCACGGGGAGCCGTGCAACGGGGGCAACGCAGTCACGGACAGCCGGCCCGGTGCCCGGCAGCCGCTGTGCCTTCCCCAGTAGCGGACACGCGGCCCGGTGCCCCGGCAGCCGCTGTGCCTTCCCTGTTAGCGGGCAGGCGGCCCGGTGCCCCGGCAGCCGCTGTGCCTTCCCGGGTACCAGATAGCCGGCCCGGTGCCCCGGCCCCCGCTGTGCCTTCCCTGTTAGCGAGCAGCCAGCCCGGTGCTCCGGCAGCCGCTGTGCCTTCCCGGGTAGCCGGCCCGGTGTCCCGGCAGCCGCTGTGCCATCCCCGGTAGCGGACAGCCAGTCCGTGGCAGCCGCTTTGCCCTCCCCGCGCTGCCCCCGCCCGCTGTGCCCGCGGCTGTGCCGGTGGTTCACAGCAGACGTTCTCCGCTTCCTTTGCCGGTGGTGCCGTGGCCAGCGAGCAGCTGTTCGTGGAGATGGCTGACAGGATGGCTGCCGAGGGCTGGAGGGACGCCGGGTACGAGTTCATCTGCATCGATGACTGCTGGATGGCCCCGACGCGGGACAAGCAGGGCAGGCTGCAGGCGGACCCCAAGCGCTTCCCCGGGGGCATCCGCAAGCTGGCCGACTACGTGAGTGCCACCGGGGCACGGTGTCACCCGGCGGGGAGCAGGGGAGGGCTGGCTGGGTGTCACTGCTGAGATAAGGCCCTGCCTGCCACTGTGAGGTTTTGCTTCCCTCGCTGCCCCAAATCCTCCTGCCTTGAGGCTGCCCCATGCCAGGGTCTGTTTCTGTCTGCAGGTTCACTCCAAGGGTCTGAAGCTGGGAATCTACAGCGATGTTGGGAGCAAGACGTGTGCTGGCTTCCCTGGCAGCTACAACCACTATGACCTGGATGCTCAGACATTTGCTTCCTGGGGTGTGGACCTGCTCAAGTTTGATGGCTGCAACTCTGAGTCACTGGATCTGCTGGCAGAAGGTGGGCACGGGCTCAAGGCAGCTATTCCCATGGCTGGGAATATTCTGCAGGCAGCAGCAATTCTAGGCCCAGCATCAGGCTCCAGAGATTTTCCCTGAGCATACTCATTTAAGGGACTTGCTTACAAAAGCAAATCTGAGGCTCTGTTCTCAAGGCCAAGGTGTTGAGTGTTGCTGTGTTAAGTGATTTTACCTGCTCGGTCTCCTGGAGCTGTCCTTCAAACTCAGCTCAGAAAAGGAGCTGTGAGCCCAGAGCCTGGATCAGGCTGAGCACAAACCCATCAGCTGTGGGCTCTGGGAGGGCTGTACTCCCTCAGCTCTTAACTCAGCACAGGCTTTGCCCTTCTGCAGAACCTGTACTGCAGAGCCCAGAGCATCTCACACACTTAACCCTCAATCCCTGTGGTGGGGCCTTATCAATGTGAATCAGCCTGAAGCTAGAAAAGTTTGTGTCAGCCATTAAAGGAGCAGTTAGGAGAGCTTTTAACAGATAAAAATGAAGGGAATTATGGCATAAAAATCCTACTGGGGTTTTCCTCTTAAAGCACACCAGTGTAAATACCACTTCAGAAGTGATTTGCACAAAGGCTGAAAGCTCAGCAGCTCCCTGTGCTGAGGCAACTTGGCCACAGCCTCTTCTGAAGCACAGGCAAATCCCAGTGCCACAGGAGTAGATTTATGGGAAGAACACTTTAACTTAGAAAGCTTTTTCCTCTTGACTGTGCTCTCTGGCTGCTGGCACAGTCAGCACCACCACATTTGACAGTAGGAGCCCTGCACAAAGTCCTGTCTCTGCCTGGCAGGGACAACCTGCCCAAGTGACAGTGCCATCCAAGCCAGATGGTGGGGCATATGCCAACTGCCACAGACAGGAGCACAGCTCAGCACCCTGAGTGACAGCTGAGCTGAGAGCTCCTGCTGGATCATATGTGTAACCCAGATACAATGCAGTTGTACTGAAGCAGTTCCAGAGGAGAGAGCGGACTTTTCATTCCCTCTCTGCCAATTGGAAGGGACTGAACAGGGCTGTTTGGGGACAAGGACAGGAAAAACTCGAGCTCTTGCATTCCTGCCCTGTCCATATGGCGCAAGGGCCTCGTGAGAACCTACTCCTACATCACCCAGCAAAGCTGCACTGCCTGATAGATACTGACTTGTGTTTCCTGGCTATCTAGAGGGAAAATGCCATACAGGAATGCTTTTAACCTCTCCCCCTGGCTGTATGTACAAAGGGATCAGCAGTCTTGGGGCAACAGCCTGCCCAAGCAATGCTCCTGTCCCTGGGAGGCAGGTGACCAGCTGCAGACTTTAAATCCTCCTGTTCCCCCTGTGGTGTCTCAACCACAAAAATGTGTTCAATCTTAATTTTGCAAGAGTTGAACTGAAACCTGAACCTGTGACATTGGCTTAGTTCTGCTGTGTGACCAGGGAGGTTGTGTAAGCTGTGTCTGTGCTCTTCCTCTAGGGTACAGGCGCATGTCTGTGGCCCTGAACAGGACTGGAAGGAGCATTGTGTACTCCTGTGAGTGGCCTTTCTACCTCAGACCTGTGCAGCAGGTAAGGAGTGCCTGCAAGGTTTATCCTGGGGCTCAAGTGGGAAGAAGAGAAAAACATTTAACATTGCAAAACAGCATCCTGAGAAACTTGCTGCTCTCTGTTCTGACAGAGAACAAGGCTGTAAAATGGAGGAAAAAATCTTTTCTTCCAGAGCCCTGAAGCATTCCTAAATCATTGCTCTGCTGAAATAGATTCAGTGGAATTCTGCAGCATGAAGGCACAGCCCAGATGGAGCATGCCAAAAAAACCACAGCATCCATCTGCTTCCTCTCTCCAAGGAGCCAAGCAGCAAACCATTGGCAGTGCAGACACAGCCTAGCAGATAGCTCAGGGCAATTCCTCCTGGACACAGTGCTGCAGGCTCAGCCTTACAGACAGCTCTGGGGACCACCAGAGAGGCTTTGTGACATCCCCCACATTGTTCAGTGACAAATTTCTGCCAGCCAGGGTCTGTGATTGACACACTGCCCTCCACCCACAGCTGGAATTAAATGCATTACTCACTAAAGGGTGTAAACCCAAGAAATAGCAATAATTACTGGGATATTACAGTTTGATCCCACGGGCCTTGTCACACCTTCAGTAAAACTGGGAAGGAATTTTGTAACAGAGCTGGTGGTCACAACTGTTCTCCCAAGGGGAGCAATAGTGTTGTCTAGAACATGTCAGAGTGGAATTACTGGGCACAAAGCATTCAAGGGAATCAACATGCACTAGCTGGTGATGGAAGGTTCTCCCCTGGTTCTCCCCCAAGCTACCTCTGGTCCAGTCCAGCCTCATTGACACTCCTGTTGTACAGCCAGGTGCTCTGTCTAATCACACTCATTGTTCTGGCAGCCCAATTACACAGAGATCAAACAGTACTGCAACCACTGGAGGAACTTCTATGATGTCTATGACTCCTGGAGCAGCATCAAGAGTATCTTAGACTGGACAGCACTTCACCAGGACACCATTGTGAAGATAGCTGGGCCAGGGGGCTGGAATGATCCTGACATGGCAAGTACAGCAGCAACCACCCCACTTGAAGCATCAGCAAAAAAACCTTCCCTCAGCTGTGGGCTAAGAATGGGAGGGGAGAGAACTGGGGGAGAAACACTGAGGGGAAGGGCTCTGATGGGACCCTAGGATCAGGATCTTGGTGAGAAGGTCCAGGGTAGAAAGGGAACTGCAGCTCTGGGTGGTACCAAGGAGGCACCATCTTTGTGTCACAGCCTCCACAAGCAGCACCAGCTCAGGACACAGGTGTGGCATTGAGGGACAGTCTCCAAAGTGCTGATGTCCCACCACAGTGAAAACCCCTGGGTGCCAGCACTGCAAGAATCTGAATCCAAAAGCATTCTCAAACACTGCCTAGCCACCACTTAAAGAGCTCTCTTCACTTCCAGCAGGGACTCATCCTAAACTGCCATGCAGTCATGCCTTGCTTTTCCCAACCGGCTGGTCCTGCTCCTGGCCCTCAGCCTATCTAGCCAGGCTCCAAAGAGAGGTCCCACCCTGTGATTTCCTGGTGCTGGTGGCCCAGATTGTCCCCAGCAGTTAGTGTTACCAGGCCCTTTCTGTTTGCTTGTCATAGCTGGTGATTGGAAACTTTGGGCTGAGCTGGGACCAGTCGGTGACTCAGATGGCCATGTGGGCCATCATGGCCGCCCCCCTGTTCATGTCCAACGACCTGCGGCACATCAGCCCCGAGGCCAAGTGGCTGCTCCAGAACAAAGAGGTGATTGCCATCAACCAGGACCCCCTGGGCAAGCAGGGATACCAACTTTTCAAGGTACAGTAGAGAAGGGGGGTTCAGAGGGGAGCAGGGAGGGATGGAGTGGTGCTCAGGGTTTGGGAAAGGAGCCCATGTGTTCCTGAAGCCTGCTGGAACAGACAGGCATGAAGATCACCACTTCAGCCCTCCCACAGCCCTGGGTTTGTTTTGTTTTCTCCTTGGCAGGACAAGAACTTTCAGCTGTGGGAGCGGCCCCTGTCTGACCGAGCCTACGCTGTGGCAGTGCTGAACCAGCAGGAGATTGGGGGGCCCCAGAAATTCACCTTCTCCCTCACCTTCCTCGGCAATGGGCTGGCCTGCAACCCAGCCTGCTCCATCCAACAGGTGCTGCCAGCCAGCAGGGACTGTGGTGTGTACAGCTGGATGTCCTCCCTGAGCCTGGAGGTGAACCCCACAGGCACCGTGCTGCTCAAAGTCCTGCCAGTATAGGCAGCACAAAGACAATCTTCTCCTAAGCCTTAGGCTCTGTTTGAACTTGAGGCAGGAAATTGTTCTCCTTCTTCCAAACAGGTGCCTTTCTTCTCAGGCATTCATTATCTGAACCTTCCGTTGAATGTGACAAATTGCCATCACTCCATCATCGAGAGGTGACAGAGAAAGGGTGAAAGCAGAGCGGGGCCCCTTTCCCTGGCATCTCACCTAACTCCTCCTCCAAGGGGCTGGAAGGGCTCCAGCAGGGCCCCTTTCCCTGGCATCTCACCCAGCTCCTCCTCCAAGGGGTGGAAGGGCTCCAGCAGGGCAGCAGCTCCTGTTTACACCCACTGCCACTACCGAGCAAGGAAAGGCAAGGGATGCACAGGCAGCACCTTACAGTTGTCCTGGAGCATTTTAGGGACAATAGGGAAACACCCCTTGGCCACCTTGCTCTCTTTTCCAGACCAGGACACACAGTCCAAGAAAAGCTGCTCCCATCCCCACTAAAGAAACCAAACACTTGACTCAGAGCATGGACATGCACTTCCATCTTCTGACAACTCAGGGACTGACATGAACCATTGCACTTCTCAGCAACTTCCTTGACACCTGCTATCAGGCCTTAGGACTCAAGTTTTTGAAGGTTTCCCCTCACTCCAGGAATCTCTCACCAGTGGCTGTCACTTCCTTTTAGATGACAACTCCCTCTCTACCCTTCATATGGCCACTGGAGTCCCCTTGCTCCATGAATCCTGCCTCCCAGAAATCCCTGAGTGCTTGCTTCCCACTGCTGGCAGCAGCCTTTAGGTTGAATAATATGGGCTCTCCAAGACAGGAAATGGATAATCACCTAAGCAAACATCATGTGCAAATATATTATCTTCTGATTACAATACAATCAGGGTTTCTTGATTTGTTCTTCTGTGATTGAGCACTTTGATTAAAATCCCTTTAAAAGACTATGCTTTTTCTTACTTGCAGTGTACAAGAGTACAGCATGGTATCTGAAATTAAATAATGATTTAGAAAACAGGCCAGTTTGTTCCAGTCATGTAAGTTTTTGTGACATTTGTCACCAGAAACAGCACTCAGTGAAACTGATGTAATATAGCTGTACAGTCCACCCCACAGGCCAGAGCCACCACTGCCTACACAAATCTGACAATGCCATCACATCAGCCAATATTTAATAAGCAAAACCACAGATTCCCTTACAGCTCAGTAACTGAGTGCTCTCAGTCATGATGAAGATGTGAAGAGGCATCTCTCCATCCTCCAGCTCCATTTCCACTACAAGAAGTTGCCCTTAAGGGTGAACCCTGCATTGCATTCCCAGCACCTGCTAACAGCACTTCCTACTCACAGAAATGTTCCTCTCTAAGGGGAGGCTGTCCTGGAGGCTGTCCCCACAATCTACCACACTCTGCTTGTTGCCCATTTGAAACTTCACTGCTGTGCTTGGCCTTCTTCCTTCAAGGAAGATGCAAAGGGGAGCCAGCAGCAGTTGGCACAGGGGAAGGCAGCTGAGGCCTGTTTCACCATGTGCCAGGGGCAACCACAGGCACAGAGCTGTCCCTCACCTCTCTGAGCTGCCACAGCTACTGGCACCAGCCTCATTACCTAATTAGGGACCTGCCTAATGGTGCAGGTGTCAAACCCACTGGCTGCTCCAAGGCCTTTGCTACTCAGGGCAGTACAGCTGTCTATAAAAGGGGCCTACAGCCGAGTGTAGGGGCTGTTCAGGAGAGTTCATAAACGAGCCTGCAGCATGTTCATGCATAGAAGTCACTGGCACCCATTACAGAACACTTCTTGGAAACACAGTAAAGAGATCCCAGCTTCTGGCAGGGAATTTTCAAAAGCCAGGGTAAAAACTGCTCTGTTAAATGGTTCTGCAAGCAACACCTCCCTGCTGAGCTGATGTACTCACAGCTCCCACCCCAAGAGAAAACACATGAAGAAAAGCAAGGGATCAATCTAATTACTTTAATACGGTCCGTAACGATGAGCAGGACGATGCTCAGAACTGGATCACCTGGCCCTGTAAGAAACAAAAGACAAGAGTGAGTTTATTCACCACTGAGTATTGTCCCCCCTTCTCAGCCACTCACAGAATACAAACTCACCTTTCTCTTCTTGTCTCCTCCCAGCTCAAAGTGCTTGCACCTCTTAATTGCCAGCATCCTCTTGGACCTGCAGTTGGGCTCCACACACTCCAGCCTCAGCACAATCTTCTTGGTGGTCTTGGCCTGGGAGGAGGAGCAGGGTGTTTCAATGAACCACACATCCCCAAGCAGACAAACTTTCAGGGAGAGCTTGTTCCCTGCACTCCTGAACATTCAGTTTGTTCCCAAAGCACAGAGAGAAACTACAAACACAGTTAGGCTCGCTCCACTGAAAAGAAGGCACTTGAAAGATCAGTTGGGGAATGAAGTAGATTTGTATCTTCACAAAAAGGGCACTGGCAAACGCATTCAGTGAGGCAGGGCTGGTTCCTACAAGGATCAGCCATGCTGGAGAAATCTGTTCCACTGAACAGAGCAAGAAATTCACACTTTTACAGTGTGGAAGCACAGACCAGCAATGCTCAAGAGAAATCCAGAAGAAAATTGGACAAAAGAAACACCTGGAAGCAACACCACTGGCAAATTTCTCTGGAAGGAGCAGTGACACAACAGGCTCAGTGCAGACCTGCAGCTACTCAGAAGCTGGATGGAACCTGAAAGACTGCAGAGGAAAGAATCCAAAGCTGGGAGGCTGCTGTAGCAGCTGGACAGGGCTGTAACCACCAGCTAAAAACCTCAGCCAAGCATCCATACAATGCTGACTGGGAAAAAACAGAAATGAGAATTGCAATGTACAGGTAGAGAGTGCCAGCAGTGCAGCTGCTTGGTGTACCCTGCTTGCAGAAGCATTTTCTGTGAGGTCTCCCCACTTCCTGGCACAAAGTCAACTTGAAAACCCGCTGCCTCATTTTTCCTTCTTGCTGGAAGGCTTCCTGTGCACCTCCAGCAGCACACCAGGGCTTCCCAATAATGAGCCAAGCAGCTCTATGAGCACAACTAAATAATTCACACAAAGTAACAAACCCACCCACTGGGGTTTGCTTCCCTGCTGTGAATACACCAAACAAGCAGACAGCTCCTTTCCCTTTGCCAAGCCCTTCCCCTTGGACAAGCAAAAAAGGAAATGTTCCTTTCACTTCAAATATCCCACTCCCCTGCAGCACCAAAGCTGAGAAGCTGCTCTGCCAACACAGCCCAAGTCACCCTAAAAATGAGGAGCATCTCCATGAGACAGCACAGCAAGGAGATGAGCTGGGCTCTTGATGGGAGCTTACAAGGGAGATGGAGGATTTTACAAGAGCACAGAGTGACAGGGCAGTGGGAAATGGTTTCCCACAGACAGAGTAGGAAGAAATTCCTCCCTGCGAGGGTGGGGTGGCCCTTGCACAGGTTACCCAGAGAAGCTGTGGCTGCCCCTGGATCCCTGGCAGTGTCCAAGGCCAGGCTGGGACAGTGGAAGGTGGCCCTGCCACAGCAGGGGGCTGGAACACGATGGTCCCTTCCAACCCAAGGCATTCTGTGAGGATGAGGGGACACCTGCAGTGCCAGCACAGCACTGCCCTAACACAGCCAGAGCAGAGAACGAGGAACCTCCCTCAGCTGGGCACGGGCTGCCAGGGAAGTTTCCTGGTCCTGAGGAGCAAACTCACTCACCTTTTTACGGAAGATGGGCTTTGTCTGGCCCCCGTACCCGCTCTGCTTCCGATCGTAGCGCCTTTTTCCTATGGGGAAACAGCTCTGGTCAGGCAACAACCAAGGAGATGCTCCAGGCACAGCTGGCACTGCCTAAATCCCAGCACACCCCAGCCTGTCCCTGCACAGCCCAGCAGAACCAGTGCCACGGCTCTTGTGCTGTCCCCAAAAGTGGAACCTTCCCCTCACTGTGCGCCCAACAGACACACAAGGTCTAGGCACTTGATTTGTTCAGAGTTCTGTGCAAAGAGTGATTCATGTTAATTCCTCAAAGCCAGCACACAAAGGGTTTAAAATATTTATACAGTCCTGTTCAGGTGATATTCGCATAATTAATCCACATCAGTACTGGCAGAACTACCACTGGATTCACTTTCTTTCACATTTTAAACTCACAGCAGGGCTCTCCCTCGGGCTGGCCAGCCTGGGCTCCAGTTGTGCTTTCACAGCCAGCTAGATTTACCCAGAGCACATTCCCTAATTAGTTAAACATTTCTATACGACAACCATCTGAAACCGCCTTGGGCTGACACGTCCTTAGTCTTTCTCCCTTTCTCCTATTTTTATAGTTCCCTTTATTGTACAGCACGTCCTTTAGGCCAAGCTGTCCTCCCCAGCCATACAAGTGTTCCCAATGTACACCAGCCGTGCAGGGCACACCACACCCGGCCCGCACGCAGCTCCCCTGGGCCCAGAGCGAGCCCGCGCTCACCCTGCGCATAGAGCGAGTCCTTCCCCTTCTTGTACTGCGTGACCTTGTGCGGCTGGTGCTTCCCGCACTTCTTGCAGTACGTCCGGCGGGTTTTCGGCACGTTCACCTGGAGGAGAAGGAGAGAGAAGCCGGTCACGGCCGCTGCGCATACGCCACATCCCGCTCCCAAGGCCCCGCTCCGGCGCTTCCCTTTCCCTCGGGCCCTGCGCTGCCATCGGGGATGGAGAAGCCCCCGCGCCGGCCTGGCCGCCCAGCACGCACCCATGGCAGCGGAGAGAGCCCGGCCCGGCGCAGCCGCGGGGCGGATGGCGGCGGATGGAGCCCGGCCCAGCCCCGGCACTCACCATTTTGGCGGCGGCGGCCCGGAGAGGAGGAGCTGACCGGAAGCGGAAGTGAATGAGCTGGGGACCATAGAGAGGAGCGCGCAGGGGCGCGCAGGGCACGGCGCCCCCTGGCGGTGGGAGGAGAGCAGCCATGGGCGGGAGGGAGGGCGTGGGACGGGGCTGTGAGGGTGGGGAACTGTGGGGTCCGCCGGGTGCAGGTGACATCCCAATGTTCGAAAGACAAACTGTGTCAAGAGTTCATTGTTAAGGTTTAGGGCTTGACATGTTTCAGAGATCTCAGACTGGGTGGAAGTTCACACGGCTTGGGAAAAAGGATTTACCATCACAAAGAATGCAGAATTTAGGAGCACAAGAACAGTTGGCAGAACTCTCAAGACAAGGATGTAAGTAGCAAAGCAAACTGAACAACTGTGCTGAACCAGATCTGAGTGGATAAGACAGATTCCAGATCACGACACCAACTCACGGACCACCAACCCAAGAAACTCGCTGACCCAAATGAAGGCTGAACATGTGGCCTAATTAATAAAGGAATTGACGGAATCATTTAACACTACAAGATAGAATACTAATGAATTATGTAATCTGTAGCCAATGGGGATTAATCTTTTCATTTGCTAAAACGTATAAACAGTAAAAACTTTTGATAGTCGCTCTGCTGGCTTTGTGAATTTACCACCAAAACCTCTTTCCACACAGAACTCTAAATAAAAATACCTTGTTTCTGTGTGGGGATCAGCCCCATTGGGTGAAAGAACCCGTTTTGGGGCAACACAGGGCTGGTCATCCAACTCATCCAACACCCAGCACTGCCCAGAGCCCGGGGCAGGCTCCCGGCCTGGCGCCCCCACGGCAATGACCCGGCTGTCTCCAGGAGGAAACACAAACGCTGCCTTTGAGTCACAAAACGAAAAAAGGGGAACCGAAAGGGTGGGGTTGGCCGGCCCCGTCCTTCCTCCCTGCGCACCCTGCCGTCTCTGCGGGTCCCTGCCGCCACAGGCACCCCGAGCGGCCGGGTGGGCGCGGCGGGCCCGGCGGGCCGGAGCGGCGGCGGCACGGGCGGTGAGTGAGGGACCCGGAGCCATGGAGGGCAGCGCTGCCTCGGGCTCCTGGGCACCGATGGGCCCTGCTGATGTGCCCGAGGGACAGCCGGGGTGGCGGGAGGCTCCATGTGGCTGTACCGGTGGCCTCACACCTCTGCTGGGCTCCGTGAGGGCAGGGGAGCCGTGCTGGGCACAGGGCACACGGGGAGGGTGAGCCCAGCAGCGAGGGCAGGGCTCTGCCTCGTCCCACAGCCTGGCCAGTTCCAAGCAGGTGGCACCTGACCCTGTCACCTGGCCGGGGCTGTGGGGTGCAGGGAGCTGGAGGGGTGCCAGGGGCTGCAGGCTGGGCTGGAGCAGGGAATCACAGCGGTGTGAGGCTGCCAGGGCTGTTCAGAGCAGGGTTGGGGCTCTGCCAGTGTCTTTGGCCGTTCCTCACCTGAGCTTTCCGCAGTGGGCACTGCTGGCGTGCAGCTCTGGCTTTGCTCTCAAGTCTCTCCCATGCAGGTTTCCCCCTCTGTCCTTCCCACCTATGGTTTTTGACACCCTCAGCGCTGAACCTGAAACATGAGGGCTGTGAAGTTAAGATGAGGGTGTGAAGTTTGTCACTCTGTCACCCTTCCCTCTTGTCCCAGGCATGCCAGCCCCACACCAGAGCTTGCCTGTGCAGGAGGGATGGCTGTGGGACCATGGTGGGACACAGTGTGCGGTGGCATGAGGCCAGCAGCATGTGCCAGGCTGGTGGTGGTCTCAGAGCATGCTGGGCAGAGGTGTGAGCATGGCAGGAAGTCACACTGGCTGGAGGGGGGGACACAGGACATGCTCCCACACGCCCACTCATCACTGCTGTCACCGCACAGCAGTGCTGGCTGTGGGGCTGAGCCCTGGGGGCTCCCACAGGGACACAGTGGGTCTGGTGGCCCTGCTGGGGACAGGGAGGCTGTGCCATGATGGGGCACAACAGCCCTCTGAGACACTCGTTGTCCTTTCCCCTCTGGCAGTTCCATCCAGAGGACACAGTGAGGACGTGTCCCACCTGCCTGGCACTGCTGGCCATGACCCCACTGCTGTGACTGCAGGTAAAGCTCCAGGGAGCTGGCACTGCAGCTGGGATGGAGGCCAGGGCCCCTGTGCTCAGCCCTGTGTCTGTGCCAGGGAGGGCAGTGGGACCCTCCTGCTCTTGGGACACAGGATCAGCAGCCACACTTGATAAGGAGGGAAAATGAGGCTCAGGGCTACAGGGTGGTTCTAGGGTCACTCTGGGCTCATCTACCATCTTGCCAGCAGTCTGGGGGTCAGGGGGGCCACACCAGCCACCTGCAGGGACCCCAGATCCCTCCTCCTGAGGCCTCAGTCAGCACACTGCTGTTTGTTCCAAAAGACTCCAAAATGACTAATTTTTTAAGTTGGGCTTCTTTTGACCACCCAAACAAGCTGGGAAGGTGTGAGCCATAAGAGCCACAAGGAGGGGAGAGGGAAGCCTGGCAGAGGGAATCCTGCTTGTCCCCAGCCTCTCTGTGTGCTGTGGGGCAGGGTCAGCACTGCAGCAGCAGGGGCTGTGCTGGGAGGCTCTGGGCATTGCCAGCAGATGGGAGGACACCTCTGCTCCTTGTCTGGGCATTGCCAGCAGATGCGAGGACACCTCTGCTCCTTGTCCCCAAGCTGGGGCTTGCCCTGGAGGGAGGCACAGTGTGTGGGATTGGGTCCTGGCATCTTTGTTCCCCCCTGACCATGTTGTGAGTAAGCCAATGCCCATCTCCTGTGAGGGGAGAATGGATGGAATACTCAGCTGGGGAATGGGGGTCTGAACCCCTGTTTCTGGTCTACCTCTGAGCTTCCCCCTGAGGAGATGGGCTGTGGGGAGCAGGGGAGAAAAACAGCTTCTCCCAGGTTACTTTCCAAAGCCGTGCTTATAGGAGGAAAAAAGGGGAACAAGGTGAAGGTGAAGGGGAAGCAGGGACTGTAGGTGGTCAGGCAGGAGACAGGAGCTGGGCTCCAGGGGCTCCCAGCTCAGCAGGGGCTGCACACAGCTCACCCATCAGCTCCCAGACTGCAGTCAGGTGCTGGTCACAGCCCACAGCTCCAGCCACGTGGCTCTGGGGGTGCTGGACCCACCTGGGGGTCACAGTTCTGAGTACAGCATGGAGATGGGCCAGGGAAATTTCCAGTCCCTAAAGGCTGGGCAGCAGTGGGATGCAGGGCTCTCATGAGCCCGTTCCTGCACTGCCCTTCCCTGGAGAGGCTCAGGGGAGCTTTGCTCATGGCTGGGGGAGGATTTAACCCCTCTGCCTGCTGGCTGGAGACAGCCCTTCAAGCCTGGCCACTGACAAGTGCTGCTCAGAGGGGAGGAAGGGGAGTTGAGCTCCATCCCTGCACTCCTGCAGGCTCCATGGACACACAGGGGAAGGATGGCTTTGGGGCTACTCCGTGCTCTGGGCAGCACTGTGGCTTTTCAGGGCCAGGCCCTAGCCACAGCTTTTCAGGGACTGGTCTCCCGTGACCAGCCCTTGCACGCTGCCAAGTCAGCACATCCCCGGCACGGAGAGGCTGCGGTGGGGCAGGAGGAAACGGCCCACACAGGCTCACATGCACAGAGCCCCAGGGGAGGAGCTCCTACGCGGTGTCACAGCCGCCCGCTCCTCCCCGGGGCTCCGAGCTCCCCCCGTTTCTCTCTGTCTCCAGCTCTCTGTCCATCTTGCATATCCTGGGGGCCTCCCCAGCTGGAGAAGGAGCCATCCGGGTGGTGGCTTGGTCTGCAGGCCGGTGTGGGAGAGGTCACATCACCAACAACCCACACTGACCTGCCCTCACCCCTCTGTGGCTGCTTCCCCTCGCTGTGGGGGTCCCAGCACCCCCTGTCTGCCCTTGGGGCGAGGGGCAGAGTGCATTGAGTGGGGTCCAACAGGTTTTGGGCTGAGCAAACACCGTGTCAGCATTGTTTTACCCACAGCAAGCTGGTGAGCACAGCACAGGGGACACCAGGGGTTGACATGGCCAGTGTCATCCTGGAGAGCATCTTCCTGAAGCGCTCGCAGCAGAAGAAGAAAACATCTCCCCTCAACTTCAAGAAGCGCCTGTTCCTGCTGACAGAGAGCAAGCTGTCCTACTACGAGTATGACTTTGAGCGGGGGGTGAGTCTGCAGCCACAGGGGCTGGGCCAGTGTCCAGGGGTCACAGCTGTCCCTTGCCAGCACGTAGCCCAGGGGGTGGTTGGACAGGGAGAGGGGCTGGTTTGAGCCTCTCAGGTCTCCACTTGGTGGCTGTTTGAACCAAGGCAGTCTCTTGCAGCGCCGGGGCAGCAAGAAGGGCTCTGTGGACATTGAGAAGATCACCTGTGTGGAGACAGTGGCACCTGAAAACAACCCTCCCCCTGAGCGACAGGTCCCGGTGAGGAGGGTCCCTGGGGTGGTGGCAGTGGGGGACAGCCCTGCTTGGCATGGGGGGCTCTGTCCACACCATACCAGGGGTCCAGCTTGATGCAGAGCAAGGGGATGCCAAAAGCTGTGGGTCTGCTTCAGAGGAGATGCCAGCATCCATCTCTGCCTCTCTCTTCCAGAGGAAAGGGGAGGATTACAACAACATGGAGCAGATCTCAATCATCGAACGGTTCCCCTACCCCTTCCAGGTGAGTTTTCACTGCGCCCTCTTTGCTGGTCCACTCTGCCGGGGGCAGGTCCTGAGGGGGGGACCCCACAGGGGCCTGGGGTCAAACATGGCATCACTGCCCTGGTGCCAGGTGTCACTCAGCTGCTTGGAGACACTCTGCTGCTGTCCACACTGCTGGGACAGCCAGGTGAGCCTCTCTGAGCCCCGAGCCAGCTCTGTTTAAGATGGAAACCTGCTTCTGAGCTCTGTCCTGCCCCTTTCAGTCCCCTGGCTGCACACTCAGCCCCCAGCCCAGCTGCCTGCCCTGCTGGCACCCAGGCACACCGAAAGTCAGAGAAGGAAGTGGAAAGTCTCGGGGGAGGGGGCTTATTTTTAACCTCTTTGTCACGGTCCCGCGAGCACCGTGCGGGGCCAGCAGACACCGGCGGGGCTGGCTCGGGGTGGCCACAAGGCTCGGCTCCGCCCGTGCCTGCCTGAGAGCCCTGCCCGCGGCGCTGAGCTGAATGTTCCTGCAGGTGGTCTATGACGAGGGGCCCCTCTACATCTTCTCCCCGACGGAGGAGCTGCGCAAGCGCTGGATCCATCAGCTGAAGAGCGGTGAGTGCGGGGGCTCTGCAGCTCCCTGGGGAACCAGCAAGGCACAGCTGTGCCTGTGCCTGACCCTCAGTGCAGCCTCCCAGGGCTGCCTGGCTCATGGGTACCTGTCCCATGGCTGAGGAAGGAAGAGCAAGCTGATCCTGCCTGGGGCAGGTGAATGCTGTCACCCTCTGCAGCAGCATGGCTGAGGCTCCTTGCCTTCTCACAAACCTGCTCCAAAGCGGCTCAAGCAGGCTCAGAAATCATTGAGGGCAAGAGGAAATAGCAGATGTGGCCATACAGCTGTGCTGCCTTGGCATGTGAGGGTTGGGTGCCCAGTGCTTTAGGAAACATGGACCACAAACCTGCTGGGAGTCAGGGAGTATCATCCCCAAACCACGTCAAGCCTTCCTCGGTAATGCTCAGCTAATGCTCAGCTGGGTGGGTGCTCCCTCCTCGAGTGTATTGCAGCAGCACTGTGCCAAGGGGCTCCAACCACCCAAAATCTGCTGGAGCTGCCTGTGTGTGCCTCCTGGCACATGTGTGTGTGTGTTTCTGTGGCTTTGTGCTGGCAGGGTGGGATCAGCTGCTTGAGTTGACACGGGGAAGTTGGCTCGAGCGGGGCGGAAGAGGGGCAGGCTGATAACGGGGAAGTCGGTTATCTCACAGGAGCCCCAGCAGAGCAGCCAGTCCCCTCCCCACTTCCCTGCTGAGGGAGCAGGGCTGCTCTGGCAGCTCAAGCCAGTGTAGAATCCAGAGGGAAAGGAGAGAAAATGCTGCCTTTTTGCTGACAGGATGTCCTCCTCTTACTCCACCAGAGAATGGGCTCTCTGCAGCCTGTGCAGCTGCTGGGCCAGCCCCAGGCTGTTGGCAGTGTTTAGGCACATCCAGTTGTCCCTCTAACCTGGGGAGAAGTGTGAGGAAGCCGGTCAGCCTGCCTGGCAAGGGAATATTCTCCCTGCCAGGGAAGTCTCTGAGCAGGGTGGTGGCAGTGCCCTCCTCTACCCATGGAAAAGCCAGGCACAGCACTGGCCTCCTACCCCACTTCTGGGGAAAAAAGGGCTCAAAAGAACTGTGAAACATGGGCCAGAGCAGCCTGGGGGTTATTGGATATTTTGGCTGGCAGAAGGGCCAGGTCCTTCTGTGACTGGTTCCAAGCATGCTCATGCCCTTTTGCAGAGCTGCTCAAAAGCTTGGATCTGAGAGCCAAGCCTGGCCCTTCCCTGTGGCACAGGGATTGCACAGCCTCAGCACTGAAACAAGAGTGGTAAGCTGGGGAAAACCTGAACATCAGGGCTCAGGGGACTGCAGCACAGCTGAGAGGAAATGATTTAATGCAGCTGACCACTTGCACTGAAGGAGCAGAGAGCTCTTGCAGCAGGCTGGGGACACAGCCCTGGCTCACACACATCTTCCCTCCTCTGCCACAGTGATTCGGTACAACAGCGACCTGGTGCAGAAGTACCACCCCTGCTTCTGGATCGACGGGCAGTACCTGTGCTGCTCCCAGACAGCCAAGAACGCCATGGGCTGCCAGATTCTGGAGAGCAGGAATGGCAGTAAGACACCAGGCACCCTCCCTCTGCCTCATCCCCCTGCCCTGGGGAGCACTGCACACAGAGCCAGGCGTCTTTTCTCACCATGGCCCCTCCTCTGTTCCGAAGGTTTAAAAGTCGGGCGGTCGCATCGCAAGACAAAGAAGCCCCTTCCCCCAACTCCTGAGGAGGACCAGGTAAAGGCCAATGTCAGGGTTTGCTCCAAAGTGCTGGAGAAAAGATCTCCCTGGGAAAAGCCAACATGTTCAAGGACTGCTCAGAGATGTACAGGCAGGACTCTGCTCTGGGGAGGGAGGTCAAGATGGTGACCTAAGGGAGAAGGAGCTTGAAGCAGGGGATGGACCCCAAAGGCCTATAGGGAAGTCAGTTGATCTCAACCCTAAGGTTTCCCAGAGAGATTAAATCCCTGATGTAGGTTGGAGGAGTCACAGGTCAAGCCAAAAGGTAAAAACACTCACCTTTCTGTGGAGATGGGGAAAAATATTTTGATAAAAAGTCCAGGGGGAGGAAATGGGTGTTCTGTTAGAGATACACGTGGGAGCTGAGACAAACACTGCACTGACCTTGCCTGAGACCACTGCCCTCCCAGGCCTGGGAAGGGTTCACGTGGTGTGTGTGCCAGCCTGACCACTTCCCTCTCCCTGTGGGAAGATGGTGATGAAGCCTCTGCCTCCTGAGCCAGCCCCCAGCACAGCAGGGGAGAGGAAGAAGGTGGTGGCCCTCTACAACTACGAGCCAATGAACGCCCAGGACCTGCAGCTGCACAAGGGCGAGGAGTACTTCATCCTGGAGGAGAGCCACCTGCCCTGGTGGAAAGCCCTTGACAAGAATGGGTGAGAGCTCCCACTGCCCATGGCTGTGGTGCTCAGGCACTGGTGGGCAAACACATCCTTGGGCACCCCATGGGTGAGGACAGGCTGCCTGCTCACCTCTGGGCTGCCCTCGGGAGGAGGCTGAAACCAGCTGTGGTGTCAGTTCTTCCCAGATGGGATTGCACCAAAGTTTTTGAGCCCATTTCTACTCAGCCTCCTGAGATAGGAATATCTTTTCCCCTTGGCCTCCTCCATCAGAGTGTGACCAGCCCTTTTCTCTGCAGGAGGGAAGGATACATCCCCAGCAACTACGTCACTGAAACCAGAAATTCCCTGGAGATCTTTGAGTAAGAGAGGGCACAGGCACCTGGCGAGTTGCACTTGGTTGGAGACATTTTCCATTTGGTTGTTCCCCTCCACAGCCCTTGAGCCCAGCCTGGCTGGGTTATTCTCCCTCTTCCACATCCCCTGACAGCCTCCAGCCCCTGGCAGCCATCCCTGCCCTGCTCTCTGCACTGCCAGTCCTGGCTGGGCACAGAGGTGGCTGTGGAGATCTCTCTGATGGCTGTGTCCCTGTTCCAGGTGGTACTCCAAGAATATCACTCGGAGCCAAGCAGAGCAACTGCTGAAACAGGAGGTAAGTGCTGCCTCCCGAGGCTGGGTCTGTTCTACACCAGCCCTCCATGGGCTGTTCTCACATTGTGTCCAGCGTGGGACCAGCCCTGGCTTTTCTGGGAGAGGAGTGTTGCCCCAACAGCCCCAGGAGCCTTCCCTATCCCAGTGTGAGCTCGTCCAGGCAGCCACTTCAGGAGATTGCCTCCCATGCAGGGACTGGAAATAGGATTCCTCTGACTCCCTGCATCCTTTCCAGCCATGCTGTGATCTTCACTCACTTCAAGTTTTGCCTGTTACAGTCACACACAGTCCCCACAAACACCCAGTGCCCTTTCCCCTTTGTGTTTTAGGGTAAGGAAGGAGGCTTCATTGTCCGAGATTCCACCAGCAAGACAGGGAAATACACTGTCTCCGTCTATGCCAAGTCCTCTGCGTAAGTGCCTCTGAAAACAGCTTGTTCCTCCCTCAGAGGGCTCCTCCAGACACCCCTCACCCTCTGCCTCTCCTCCCCATGGCACTGACCTCATGTTCTCCCTCTCCAGAGACCCCCAAGGCACAATCCGCCACTACGTTGTCTGCTGCACCCCCCAGAATCAGTATTACCTGGCAGAAAAACACCTCTTCAACAGCATCCCAGAGCTCATCACCTACCACCAGCACAACTCTGCAGGTCAGTGCTCTGGAGACACAGTGAAGCCAGCAGTGTTTGCTCTGGCACCACGGCATCCCCACCTTCCTGTGCCAAAGGCAGGAGTTGTGTTCCCTGCTGGAATGTGGCATTCTCTGCTGCTGTGTTTCAGGGCTCATATCCAGACTGAAGTACCCTGTGTCTCAGCACAAGAAAAGTGCTCCTTCCACAGCTGGCCTTGGCTATGGTAAGCCACAGCCTGGGCTACCTCACAGTTCCCTGGTTAAAGGGTTTGTTTCTGCTGGCAGCAGCCTTCCCAGGCTGGGATCCTGGCTGTCCCGTGGCTCATAGCCTTCCCAGGAACCACTTCCCAACTGCCCTCTGGTGACAGTATTGACCAAAAGACTCCACAAGCTGCCTTGCTCCCATTCCCTGGAGTTACAGGTCTCAGATGTTGTGGATTTTGTGGATGATTTTTCAGGCAGCAAATGCTTGTGAGCTTTTCTTGGGCTTGCTAGATTGGATGACTGGGAGCACTGTGCAGGGAGGTCACCTGTACCCACATTACCCTCACTCTCTTGTTCTAGGCTCGTGGGAGATTGACCCCAAGGATCTGACCTTCCTGAAGGAACTGGGGACGGGGCAGTTTGGCGTGGTGAAATATGGGAAATGGAGAGGCCAGTACAACGTTGCCATCAAGATGATCAGGGAGGGCTCCATGTCAGAGGACGAGTTCATTGACGAAGCCAAAGTCATGATGTAAGTGGTGAGCACCACGCAGGGCAGCGCTGGATGCTTCTTGCCAGAATGGCTGTACTCCTGGGAGGTGTGGAGGGACAGTCTTGGGCAGTCCCATACTCTGCAAAAAGCATCCAAGATCCCACGGATTTTGTGCTGATTCTTTGTTGGGGTTTTCCACTGTCAGCTGGGCCAGAAGCACCTTCCCTTTTCAAACTCTCCTCATTCACTTCCTTTGCTCCCTGGATTTCTAGATGCTCAGAATTGCCTTTGTCCCCAACACAGGAACCTGTCTCACGAGAAGCTGGTGCAGCTCTATGGGGTCTGCACTAAGCAACGTCCCATCTTCATCATCACCGAGTACATGGCCAATGGCTGCCTCCTGAACTTCCTGAGGGAAACACGGCAGCGCTTCCAGCCCGCCCAGCTGCTGGAGATGTGCAAGGATGTCTGTGAAGCTATGGAGTACCTGGAATCCAAGCAGTTCCTGCACAGAGACCTGGTAGGGCTCTGGCTGCTTTGTTCAGGCAAAATCCCTCTGGGGAAGTTGACCCCACATAGATAAATAGGGTGCTTGAAGGCCTCAGTTGCTCTCTGCTGAGGGCTTTCTAGCTTACCCCAGTCCAGGTAAACTTGCAGGAAAAAGTGTGGAGAAGTATTTGGTAGGTGGGGATGAGATGAAGTTCACCTGCTACAGGGGGATGGGAGAGACAAGAGCAGGTAGAAGTAACTGCCTCCACCTCTCCATTTACAGGCTGCTCGAAACTGTCTGGTGAATGACCAAGGAATTGTGAAAGTGTCAGATTTTGGTCTTTCCAGGTCTGGTAGATGTGTTGCTTTCCTGTCTCAATACTCCATCTCCTCCTTCCATCAATTCTACACTTTGGTCTTTGTCCCCACCACCCTCCAGCTCTGCTTTACCATTGTCTTCCCATTTAATCTGCTTGGCTCAACCTTCTGCCTCTCCACTTTCCACCATCCCTTTCTTATTTTCCCCGGCCCTTTCCCCCCCCCCTCTCTGTATCTTCTTTCCCACCCCCAAATCTCCTGGCTGCAGCTTTCTCTCCACATCCCCTTTTTGCTGTGCTTCCATGTCAGCAAATCTCTTCTGCAATCCTGGCTAACACGCACTTACTGCTGAAACCCGTGCAGAGCTGCAGCCTCTGGTCATCCTGAGCTGCCCATTCCTTTTGAGCTTGTGGGAAGGAGGGAAATGTGAAATCCAGCTGAGGCACCCTGATCCATTTTCCTGCTGCAGGTACGTGCTGGATGATGAGTACACGAGCTCCATGGGGTCCAAGTTCCCAGTGCGGTGGTCTCCTCCTGAAGTGCTGCTGTACAGCAAGTTCAGCAGCAAGTCTGACGTCTGGTCCTTTGGTAAGGGCACAGCATTGCTGGTTTGGAGGTTGGGAACTCCTCTGCAAACCAGGTGCAGCCACCAGGTGCTCCAATGCCATGAGCTCTCTGTGCTGTTCCCCTCAACAGGTGTCCTGATGTGGGAAGTTTATTCCCTGGGAAAGATGCCTTACGAGAGGTTTAACAACAGCGAGACAACCGAGCACGTCATCCAAGGCCTGCGCCTGTACCGGCCGCAGGCGGCCTCGGAGCGGGTCTACGCCATCATGTACAGCTGCTGGCATGAGGTGAGTGGGTCTGTGCCATCATGTACAGCTGCTGGCACGAGGTGAGTGCCTTCCACCCCTGGTGACACCTCCAGCCACCCTGGTGGGGTGACAGCATCCCCAGGGCATGGCTGAGGCAGACTCGTGTTCCAGCTAGGCCCCCCTTTTGCCCCACAGAAGCCTGAGGAGCGCCCCACCTTCACCGTGCTGCTGAGCAGCATCCTGGACATGGCTGACGAGGAGTGCTGACCGCGGGCACTGCCCCTGACCCTGCCCAGCACTGCCACTGCCCCGCGGGACACCCCTGCACACCGGCTGGCACAGTTCTCATGGACACGGGCGTGCAGGAGCCTGGGGAAGCCCCACGGCTGCACCCACAGCTCCATCACATGCTCAGAGCTTCAGCACATCCCTGGAGCTCCATCACGTCCTCAGAGCTCCATCGCATCCCTGGAGCTCCATCACCGCCCTGGAGCTCCATCACATGCCCAGAGCTCCATCACCACCCCAGAACTCCATCAGTGCCTTAGAGCTCTATCACATGCTCAGAGCTTCAGCACATCCCTGGAGCTCCATCACATCCCCAGAACTCAGTCAGTGCCTTGGAGCTCCATCACATCCCTGGAGCTCCATCACTGCCCTGGACCTCCACCGAATCTTTGGAGCTCCATCGCACCCCTGGAGCTCCATCACGTGCTCAGAGCTCCATCCCATCCCCGGAGCTCCATTGCATCCCCTGGGACGCTCCCGCCCCGCTCCGGTCGGTCCCGGACAATAAAACGGTTCCAAGGGCTCCCCGTTGCGGCCGCTCCGCCCCGCCGGCAGGGGGCGCGCGGCGGGCGGGCGCGCAGGCGCGGCGCGGGCGGAAGGGGCGGGCGCGGCACCGGCGGCACGTGAAGGTCGCGGCGCGGCGGCACCGGGAGGGAGCGGGGGCACACCGGGAGCGCCATGGACCCGCCGTCCGCCGCCGGGCTGGGCGGGGCCGACCCCCAGCTCCAGCGCTTCATCGAGGTGGAGACGCAGAAGCAGCGCTTCCAGCAGCTGGTGCACCAGATGACCGAGCTCTGCTGGGTACGGGCGGCGGGCAGGGCCGGCGGCTCCGGTGACCCGGTGGCGACGGTGGGGCGAGGCGGGCTGGGAGGCCGCGCAGACCTTTGTCCCCGGGGGGAGGAGGCAGATGGGCACAAAATGGAGCCGCCGTGGGAGCAGCCCCAGCTCCGGTGAGCACAGAGCGGGAGGGGGCGGCTCTCGGGGCGGGCAGAGCCACGCGTGGGGAGCGGCCGAGCTGGGCTGAGGGTCCGGAGGGGATCGGGGTCCTGAGGGCGGGAGATGGCCGGAGGCACGGCCCCGGTCGGGCTGCGGTACCAACGGGACCCCGCTGTGTGCAGGAGAAGTGCATGGACAAGCCGGGCCCCAAGCTGGACAGCCGGGCCGAGACGTGCTTCGTGAACTGCGTGGAGCGCTTCATCGACACGAGCCAGTTCATCCTGAACCGGCTGGAGCAGACGCAGAAATCCAAGTCGGCCTTCTCGGAGAGCCTGTCCGACTGAGCCAGACCCAGCCCCGCCAGGCCAGGCCCTCGCCCATGCCCACTCCTGGTCACTCCGCTGCCCCAGGGAGCCAGGATCAGCTCGGGGGGTAGGATTTGATTAAATGCCAGTCTCGGGGAAGTCGCAGCCAGATGAGAGCCCACAACAGACACACGGACGCTGCACGTCGGGGTGATGTGCTGCTCCCGGCCCTGCGGGCCAGCGGCCACCTTTGTGCCGGGACCCGGGAGGTTTGGAACGTGCCCCTGGGCTGAGCAGAGGGTGCTGATGCTCGTTTCACGGATGCTCCCAGCGCCGATGGGAAGCTCGGCTCTGGGTGAGGCCAGCCTGCCTTAAACGGTGCTGCACAAAGCAGCTCTCCTGGGCACATCCTCACCCGCCCCGGGCTCCACGGCTGGGACAGGCACCCTGAGCAGGAAGAGCATGTTGGGAACAGTGATCATCCCAGGCAGTGCCACTGCTGGAAAATACTTCCAGGCTTCCATAGGTGAATCGTTCATATGGCCAAGTGACCAATTTTCACACTCTGCAGCACAACTCTGTCGATGCTGACTTGCTCCATTAACTGCTTTCCCTGGGTAAATGTAATAAATATTAACTGGGTCAATTTTTAATATGAGATTCTCCTTTTTTCAGATAGATCACTACTAAGAATGGAAAATCTGGCCTTCTTGTCACTCCCCCTCCTTCCCAGTTACCCTATTTATGGCAAAATTAGTAGGAAGGAGACATAACTGTCTTTTGGCTAGAAGGCCTTTTCTGAATTCTGATATGTTGCTCAATTAATTTGGTCTCATGAATCAGATTTGTTTCTGGGAGAGGCTGTGGCCTTTCCTCTTCTTCCCCAAAAGGTTAATAGCTCCTGCTGTCCTGGAGAGTAGTTTCTTTAGAAAGACTAAATGCAGGAATAACTAACCAGCTGCTTTATAGCCTCGTGCACCTTCACCTTTGGAGGTCACTGGCAGGAAGCCTGTGGGTGTGTTTTCTGGACCTCTGCCCCCAGGACACAAAGAGGAGCTTCAAACTGGAAAAACAACCAATTACTGTTCAGCCCTCTGGGAAGGCAGCAGCATTTCAGCAGTGCTCATACGCTGCAGGGCTCTGGGAAGCCTGGAGTGACCCTGACAGTGGTCTGGAGCTCTACACAGGAGCCTGGTAAAGCAGTTCTGCACACAACCCACTGCAGGGCTGCTGGACAGAGCGTGTGAGCTCCCAGCGTGGGTGGCTTGTAGCCAGCAGCCCTCCTGGGAACAAACTCAGGATGTGTTCAGCAGCTATGCAGATGTAAAGCCATGTCAGTGAGGACACAGCTGTCTAGTTATCTGTCAGAAACTTACCTCAGTAGCTAGGGACTAGGTTCCCAGAGTAGGTGATTCCCTCTCCTGTCCTAACCTGAGTTTCTCTGGAGCACTCACAGAGTTCTTCCTACCCCTGTGATCCTCCATGCCTTCCAGTGTTCACCCAGCTCTTGGTGTAAATGTTTCACTCAGCACTTGGAAACTGAACAGATCAGTTTTTAATAGAACACAGGAAGCTTCATCAACCTGCACAGCAGATGTTGCACGAAGAGGTTGGTCCCTCTGTAAGAGCCACAGCAGCATGTGGCAGCACCACTGAAGTTTCCCAGTTTGGGCTGTATTCTGTTTTTGGATGTGAATCTGTAAATAAATTCTAGCAGAGTGAGCAAAACCAAGTACTTGACAGAGGAATTTTTGCATTAATACTCTCTGAATGTCACCTTTAAAGCCAGACATCCATCTTCTCTCTGTTCAACCTTAGCACCATGTTAGATCATTCTGTAACTGTTAATTCTGGGTGTAAAAACTGTGTGAGCCTCCCCAGATGTGTGACCTGCCACAGAGTCAGGGTTAGCACTGTGTTAGTGCTGCAGGCCTCTCTCTGCACAGCTGAGCTCCGAGTCCTGATGAGGGAAAATTAATTCTTCACATAAAAGAAGAGTGAAGAAGCACAGGATGCCAGGAATGGGGGCACTTCCCAGGGCTCCTGTCTGTACCACAGGAGGCTGCTGGCCCTGTCAAGCTGGTGGTGCCTGGACTGGCAGAGGGTCACTCACAGCTCCTGCAGCAGCACGTTCAGCCTTTGGCAGGGAGAGCAGGAAAACAGCAGTTCACATGCTTCCTCACCTGCTTTCACTTCTCCTCCTCCTCCTCCTCTGCACTCTGAGGGCCCTTGTCCTCCGAGGGCAGCAGGGGCTGGTGCTGACAGCACTGATGTCTGTCTGCAGTGCTCCAGGGAGGGTGTGGGTCTGCCCTGGCTGGCTGCAGGAAGAGGGGCAGGAGGCTGGGGGTGAAGGGCAGGTCCCTGAAGGCGTGCAGGAGGAAGATGCCCGACACGATGGTGAGGAAGCCGCTGATGGAGCCGATGATGTTGTCCAGCACCAGGTGCTGCCACTCCTTGAAGAGGATGGCAGAGCACGTCATGACTGCCGTGGTGAACAGCACGTAGTAAATGGGTGTGACCACAGAGGTGCTGAAAATGTCCAGGGCTTTGTTCAGATAGTTGATCTGGATGCTGATGCAGATCACCAGGCACACCAGGAGCACCCAGCCCAGGGGTTCCTTCAGGACTGGCTTCCCAGAGAACAATTCCTTGAGAGCAATCCCCAGGCCTTTGACACAGGACACAGACAGCGAGCCGATGGCAGAGCAGACCAAAACATAAACCAGGACGTTGCTCTGTCCATAACGGGGTCCAGCCACAAAGATGAGCAGAATGGAGCTCACCACGACACACACAGCAAATACAATGAATCCTTGGGGAAAGAAGAATTCAAGAACTCCCATCAGAACACAGCAGCACCAGTGACAGATTGAACAGCAAGGAGAGATGGAGGATAGGCAGGTAACTGCCCCATCAGCCTTTCTGGCCTCCATCTGAGGGGAACAGGGTTGGAAAGCCTGAGCAAAGCTGCAGAGACAACAACAGCTCATTACAGTGTGATCACAAGTCAGGCTGTTGGGGATACAGTCTGCTGGGAGTGGCAGGGGCACAGCCAGGCTCCACAGTATGAACAGAGCTGGGGGACTTGTGACCAGTCCAGCAGGAGGCCCAGGAAGGTGACAGAAGGCTTGGGAAGCCGTGGCTGAACTCTGCAGACAGGTGGGATAAAAAGGAAAGTGCCACATCACAGCAGTGCCCTGCCAGTGCTCCCCCTAATGAGCAGCAACATCTGCCTGTTACTCTGCTTTGCCCCTCTCCTTTTGCTGCCTTCCTCCATCTCTTTTGGCTTATTCTGCCATTTGTGCTATTGCCTACATCATATCCTTGCAACTTGATGCATCCTCTGAGATACATACCAGGACTACCTGATCTTGGACACAACTCCTTGAATTCTTTTGCCTTGAGTTCTTCTGCCTGAATTTCCTCCTCTCTCTTCTCTCAGCCACACCACTACCACCCTTATGTACAGGAATTCCCTCTGCAGTTCCTGGCACAGCCACAGGCCAATCTCTTCTGCTGACAGCTGCACCTCATTTCCCTGCTCCTCACTTTTTGCATTATGCATCACAGACAGTAAAAAAACCAGCCCACTTGGTAACTAGTAATAATTCCAGTGGGGTGTGCAGAACAAGAAACAACTCAACTACCATTTAGTTCAGTTTAGATTTCCAATCTCTCCAAGTTGTATCCCACCTTCTACTGTCATCAGGCTGAAGTCAACAGAAATCCTTTTATTTTAGTACCTGGATCTTTCAGCTTCTCTGCCATTGACTCCAGGCTGGAAACCTCTTCTTCCTGTGGAGCATGGATCACCATGACAGTGGAGCCCAGGATACTCAGGATGCAGCCAATCTTCCCATGGACGTTCAGCTGCTCATTCAGGAAGATGGAAGACAGAACTGCACTGAAAAGGCAAAAAAAAAAAAATCCAAAACCAATTAGGAGAAGAAAACAAGAAATGGATACTTGAGGGCTGGTAGGTGAAGTGAGGCTGTTTCTGAGGCTGCTTACCTAACAAGGACACTCAGAGCACCCAGTGGAGTTACCAGTGTTGCAGGGGCAAAGGCATACGCAGCGAAATTTGCAGCTTCTCCAACTCCCACTGCAAGAGAAACTCCTGTGAGCATCAAAGTAGGAGCAATTCACCGTAATACAAGTTTGAGTGTAGTCAGAAAAGCCTCAAGTTCCTCCTGAGCATGCTGTTTCTCTGAGGTATGTTGAGCAAGCAGGGAAGAACAGCACCAGCACCTTCTCTTGGGAAGAGAAAGCTCAGTGTTATGCACAGTGATCCTTAGTCACATGTGCCTCTACAGTGAGCAGCAACCACAGGAAAGTATTTCCATAATTTCCACAAAGCTGAAAGGTGTCTGTCCTTTTCCTGGAAAAGCTTTTACAGCTTTTTAAAGGGTAAATCAGTTAGAGTTGGTTCTTAACATAGAAAAGTGTAAAGTAAAGCTGCTGAAACTGCTGCACACAGTGCTGGATGTGCAATTATCATTACATCCTCAGGGCAGGCCACTTCAGAAGCACTTACCCCAACCCAGCTAAACCAGCTCCTCAACACCTGCCAACACCTGCTTAGCACAGAAACTTGGTAATGCATGAGACTTCAGAATAGTTTAATTACAATGAGGTCAACATCATCATCAAAAACTTGGATAAAGCTCAAGTAGTCAAACAAAAATGGTAGTAACAAAGCATGAAAGTGACTGGAAACAACCGCAGCCACACTCTTATTAGGGAAGGCTCTGGATTGACCTAATTGTGGCCCTGCAGTGTGCAAAGGGAACCTACAAGAAAAAGCGAGACTTTTTACAAGGGCATGTAGTGACAGGATAAGGGGGAATGGGTTGAAACTGAAGGAGAGTAGGTTTAGATAAGATACCAGGAATTGTTCCCTGTGAAAGTGGTGAGGCCCCGGCACACGGTGCCTAGAGAAGCTGTGGCTGCCCCATCCCTGGCAGTGTCCAAGGCCAGGCTGGACATTAGGGCTTGGAGCAGCCTGGGATAGCGGGTGTTCCTGCGGGAGGGGTTGGAACGAGATGATCTTTAAGGTCTCCACCAACCCAAACCACTCCGTGATCCCACGATAAGTGTGGTAACACAGTCTGAGCGCGGTACTTACTGCACAGCAGCCCTGCCCACCACAGCCACTCCCGCAGGTACGCGTGCCCTCCTTGCCCTGAGTGCGGAGGAAACAAACGAGAAACCTCAGATGAAACCAAACCAAACTCTGGTCACGACCCTCGGGGGACCCAGCGGGGGCAGCGCCCCGGGAGCGGCCGTACCTGCCCGGGCGCGGCCGCACAGCCGGAGCAGCCCCTTCTTCTTCAGGACGAAGCTGCCGCCGATGAAGGCGCTGGAGGCCAGGGCCAGCCCCAGCCCCGCGCCGAACCCGGCCCCCATGGCCAGCGGCACCGGAGCGGGGCCGGAGCGGGGAGGGAGCGGAAGGGGCGGTGCGCCGGGCTCGGCTTCCGCGGGGCGGGACCGGGCCGGGCCGGGCCGGGAGCGGGGCTGGGGCCTCCGGTCTGCATGCAGGAGCCTTCCCTGGGCGCCGTGACCGCGTGTTTGTGTTTGAGGCGGGATGAGCAAGGGCAAGGACGATGCTCCGCACGAGCTCGAGAGCCAGTTCGTGCTGCGGCTGCCCCCGGTAAGCGCTCGGTCCGCCCGTCCCCTCACGGCCACACCGGGCTGAGCCCGGCTGGCAGGCCGGCACCGGCTGCCCCAGGCGGTGACAGGGCGGTGGGGAAGCTGCGGCTCGGGGTGTGGAAGCAGGCTGGGTGCTCTGGGGCCTGGGGAGCCCCTTCCTATCCTTTTGAGCGGGTTGTCCACGGCCTTCCCCAGAGAGGTGCTCCTGCCGCTCGGAGCTCGAGCTCCTGCTCCGGTTCAGAGACAACCGAGAGGGTTTGGGAGGACCTTTCTGTAAAGGTTTTGGCTCTTTAGTTGCAGTGGCGGTACGTGCTTTCGTTGCTGTTTGTTATGTGCGTCAAGCTGAGACTCTTTCTGGTGCCCAGCGACAGGATGATAAACTAAAGCAGTTTCCACCTCATTAAAGGAAGAACTTTGCATTGAGAGTGGCAGGGCACTGAAACAGCTGGGCAGGGAGGCTGTGGGATCTCCATCTCTGGAGACATCCCAAACCCACCTGGATGTGTCTGTGCATCACCTGCTGCGGGTGACCCTGCCTTGGCAGGGGGTTGGACTGGGTGATCTCTTCTTCCACCCCCAGTTATTCTGGGATTCTGTGTCCTGCTGGGACCATAAGGGCCTGGTGAGGGCAGCTCTAGGTGCCCACAGTGCTGTGGAGCTCTGGCAGGTGTGTCTGTCAGGGACCTCACACCAGGGATATGGAGAGCACTGGGAATAGCAGAGCCACGTTAACATGCTGTTGGAGCAGGGTGCAGTTCACCGTGGGTCTTGCAGTTGCTGTCCAGCACGTGGATGGCAGGTGTTTAAAGCTGGGTAGGTTGGGCAGAAGCATTCAGTAACTCTTGGAGGAAGCACTCCAGCTCCTGAAGAATTCCCTTCTCAGGAATATGCCTCGACTGTGCGGCGAGCAGTCCAGTCTGGGAATGTCAACCTGAAGGACAGGCTCACCATTGAGCTGCACGGTGAGTGAGCAGCACCAGGCACCTCTGCTGAAGCTGTGCCACCTGCACGTGCTGTCCTGTGAAGTTCCAGCTGCCCAGGGCTGTATTTCCTGGGTGGCTGTTGGGGCACAGCACTGACCTGCCCCTGGTTCTCCCCAGCGGACGGGCGCCATGGGATTGTCCGTGTGGACCGGGTGCCACTGGCAGCCAAGCTGGTGGATCTGCCCTGCATCATCGAGAGCTTAAAAACCATTGACAAGAAAACCTTCTACAAGACAGCAGATATTTGCCAGGTATGAGCTGTCCTTCTTGCCTGCACCAACAGCTTAATTCATTGCTCCCCCTCCAGGCAAACCCCTGTGCACTTTGGCAACTGTACACCCATTATAACATGCCCAATTCCTGTATCTCAATGCATTAGCAGTTTAAAATTCCCCATTCCACTTGGTCTTTAGAAACCTCATTCCTGAAGTGTGAAATGTGATTGTCCTTGTGACAGTTTAACTGCTGCTGTGTCCAGCTGAGCTGGGGTTGCAGCTGTGTTTCCCACACCCTGTGCCCCTGATTTCCCTTGGCTGACAACGTGCAGTGGGCAGTCACTGTTCCTTCACATCCTTGTGCTCATGTGGGGATTCCAGATGCTTGTTTGCACTGTGGATGGTGATCTGTACCCACCTTTGGAAGAGCAAACAGTGACCACTGACCCCAAGGCAAACAAGAAGAAGGACAAGGACAGAGAGAAGAAATTCATATGGAACCATGGCAGTGAGTAGAGGCTGTGCCATCCCCTGCACCCCAGTACCCCACATGTGAGCCGGGTGCTCACAGTACTGGCAGTGCTGCTGCTCCTTTCCACGGCTCTCTCTGTTGCAGAAGGGATCTTCTCCCTTCTGACACGTGCTTCTCTCACTGCCTGACACATGAAATCTGTTTCCTCTGTCACAGTCACCCTTCCCCTGAAAAATGTACGGAAGCGGCGGTTCCGGAAGACAGCCAAGAAGAAGGTGAGTTGTTTCTCACCCAGATGCAGATGAAATACCCAAGGGCTAGGAGGGCAGAGACATTAGAGCTGTAACTGTGATTGTCCAGAAGTCATGTGTTTTCTAACATTTGTTCACTTTTCCTTGCCTGAGATGAGGGTGAGGGCAGGATAGTAGATTTAAACACTTCTTTGGGTGCTTCTTCTGTATTTTTCAAGATACTCCTGAGGGGAAAGTTCTCTGTTTAGAGCACTGCTGGACCTCATTCCTGTGGCTGCCTTGCCCAGCCACATCTCTTCCTGCTCATAGAGAAGAAAGGAAGAAAGACTCACGTGGAAATGCGGCTTCACTCATTCCTGCTTTCCCAGCTTAAATCTTCTCTTCTTCTCTTTCTGCACGGCCCATTCCCTTCCCCAAATAGTACCACTGTCACTTCAGCTGGGGGAGTGACAACAGATGGAGCTCAGAGACTGTCTCTGTGCATATGCACAAGCCAGGCAAGGTGTTGGGGAGAGGCAGCACCCTGAGGCTGGGAAGACTTGTTCTTCTCTCCTTTGCAGTTTCTGAGAACAGGGTTGAGTGTGATTTTGCATGACATTTGGGAAGCAAATTACTTGAGACATTCTTGTAGCCCACAGGAGAGATTTGATATCACTGCAGTAAAATTCCTGACTAATTTAAAAGTGAAAAATGAAGCCTTCTTTTGAGTGGGATGGGAAGGATTTGAGTTCAGTTGAGTTGACCATCAACACCTCAAGGACTTTCTGCCTAGACACAGAAAGTCTTATGAAATACATAGTATAAACAGAAAAGTGAGAGCACTCAACCTACCAAGGTACAAAAAAGATGGGTTGTTATTGGGGAGTGCATAAATTACTTCACAGTTAAATATGAGCAAACTCTGAGCAGGGAGATAAGAAAGCCTTGAAACAGTGCTCTATCCAGAGGTGGAGCCTTGGAGCTGAGCTGGCCAGCAGCAGCAGCATGCACAAGGCATTTCACAGTGTCTCTGTTCTCTGTCCCCTCTCTGGCCCAGTATATTGAGTCTCCTGATGTGGAAAAAGAGGTGAAACGTCTGCTGAGCACCGATGCTGAGGCTGTCAGTGTCCGTATCCTTTCAGTGGGGAAAAGCTCAGGAGTGGGACAAGGACATGGGTGTGACCTGGGGGTTCTGGAAAGAGCAGGTTGAGCTTTGCATGGATGTGGGACACTGGGACATCAACACACAAGAGGCACTGAAGTTTTGGAGCTTCATCTTTGCCTTGTTCAAAGTTTATTGTCTCCTCAGGGTGACCTTTCTTGTGGACTGTGCTGTTGTAGTGAGAAGGAACTGAAATAGTGGAAGAGAAGTCATTAGAAAAGAATTCTGGGATGTTTTATCCTGGGGATCCATAGGTACAAGGCCAGGCTGGTTGGAGTGGCAGTGATCTGCCATTTTTAGCCTCTTCCATCACAACTGCATCTTCCAAGTTCCTCATTTTCCCCTTGACTCACCTGTTCCTGCTGTCAGGCTGGGAAGTCATTGCTGAAGATGAAACAAAAGAAGTGGACAACCATGGTTCCCTCACCAGCCTGGACATCTCCTCCCCAGGGATGTCGGGGCATAAGCAAGGCCATGGCTCCTCAGGTGCAGTGGGAAAAGCTGTTTTATTTCTAGCTGTGGTCCCTGGCAGGCACAGGGCACTGGCAGCTCATCAGCTGTGTTTTAACTCTTTACCCCCAACTAGAACACGATGAACTGCGGGAGATATTTAATGATATCAGCAGCAGCAGTGAGGATGAAGATGAGAGGGATCATCACGATGATGAAGACCTGAACATCATGGACACTGAAGAAGACTTGGAGAGACAGCTGCAGGACAAGCTGAATGAGTCTGATGGGCAGCAGCAGGAGAATGAGGGGTCCAACCAGATTGGTGAGTGGCCAGCAGAGCATGGCAGAATTGTTGGGGTGCCAGGCAGGCTGTGCTTCCCAGCTCTGCTGCTGCTCTGGGTCTGAGCTCACTCTCCCTTCCAGCCATGGGCATCCAGAAACAGATTGACAACCTCAAAAGTAAACTCCAGGAAACTCAAGACAGGAGGAAGCGCCAGGAAGATCTCATCATGAAAGTGGAGAACCTTGCCCTCAAGGTGAGAGCTCTCCTGGGGTCTCTTCAGACCTGCTTAACACTGGCTGGCCATTAGATCCAGCAGGCTGATTTGGAGAAGCCAGGAGCCTTTGCCTGCTGGGTTAAAAATAGCTGTGGTGTGGCTGTACACACTCCAGCATCTCCCTGTGGAGGCAAAGTAATCTGTGAAACTGGAGGAGACAAGGGGGTGGTTGATGTGTGGTAGCAGCACCCATTCTGCTGAGAGCACACTGCCAGCTGTGGTCTCCATGTTTGTGTCTGCAGACCCGTCTCCAGGCCGTGCTGGATGAGTTCAAGCAGCAAGAAGAGAGAGAGAAGCAGCAGGTGAGGAGAAGCCCACAGTGGAGTGGGAGGTACTGGGGCACAGCACTGCTCTAAGCTTGGCCTGACAGAGTTCCTGAGTCTTCCAGCACAGCAGCTGCTGTGAACTCCAGGTTACAGCTCAGGTGGGGTTGTACCTGTACCTCAGGTGGGGTTGTATCTGTGGTTGCATGGAGCTTCCCAAGGCAAAAGGAGATACAAGGAGTGGGATTGACTGCAGTTTTCCCTCTGGAGCAGCCAAACCATGCCCAGTCAGCAGTCCAGAGCTGCCAGGATTGCTGCCTGGGGTGAAACACAGCACACAAACCTGTTAGCACCCTTGTAAGAGGAGGGCAGTGGCTGTAGGGTTGTGGCAGATTTCCTGCCTGGGCTGCTCTGTTCCAGCCTGGTACCAAGGCAG